TCCCTCCCTTCTTCCCTCCTTCTCTCCTTCCCTCCTTCCCTCCCTCTTTTCTTCCTTCCCTCCTTCCCTCACTCCCTTCCTTTTTTTTTTTTTAAATCAACTCCATACAAAGTATAATCACTAGGGAAGAGGGAACATTAAACCATGGCCCCTATCAGATTGTTCTGTGTGCTTATCTGGGGGGTATTTTCTTGACTGGTATGGGAGAGCCCAGGCCACTGTGGGAGATGCCACTCCTAGGCAGGCAATACCAGGTTGTATAAAGAAACAAGCTAAGAAAACCCAGGGGATGTGAGCAAGCTAGTGAGCAACACTTCTCTACCATCCCTGACTCTGTTTCTGCCTGAGTTACAGTCTCCGACTTCTCTAAACAATTCACTGTGATCAGGATGTGTATAACAAATAAACCCTTTCCTTCCAAGTTGCTTTTGGTCATAGTGTTTATCACTGAAACAGCAAACCAGGACCGTGACATACCCACTGTGTAAGTAAATTACTATACCTCCATGTTTCCTATGCTTTTTTCCATAGGGGGAAGACAAGAGAGGCCAAAGCATAAACCCGATGCTGCCCTCTGGCTACTGGGTCAAGAGCCTCAGTTTGTGTGACTTTCTGGAGGAAGAGTAGGAGTCTGGGCTCTCTGACAGCCTTCTTCCTGTTTGGACTGTCCTCATATCAGACAGGTTGTCAGTCAGCTACAGGCCTTAAGACCCTGGGGAGTCTCTGGTGCATGATTACCTTTTGCCTCTATTCAGCTTGTTGAGATCTGAAACCCACAAGGCTGTGCTCTGTGCAGTGCCCACCAACCAGGATGCTTGTGGAAGATGGGTGATTGATGGTTGTGTTAATCAGAGTAATACCAGGCATTTGGCACACAATCCCAGGTAATGGGCAACTGCAAATGCAATGACTGGGATGGCCCAGCTTAGATGTTTCTTTAAAAATAAAAGTGAGAATCAGTCCCTCAAGTGAGCATACAAAGAGACCCTTGCACAGCCTGTGGGAACAATGCTTTGTTGACAGTTCAGAACAGAAGCATCAGTTGTATGTCAGCCAAAGGGACAGAAGCACAGTTTGTATAAGGGGGCCCCTTCCAGGCTTAGTTCACTGGTGACATTAATTCTTCCTGGTGACAAAACACTGTTCACATTCAGTGGTGTGGGAGCCATGCAAAACAGTGAGGAGGTAACCCCTCCCCCCCCAACAAATTAAAAATGGAATTACCTTGTCATTGAGCAATTCTACTTCTGGACATATATCCACAATAATTCAGAGCAGAATCTCAGAGAGATGTTTGCACATTCAAGTTCCCGGTAGCATTATTTCCAGTAGCCAAGGGACCGACGCTACCCAAAAGAGATCTGTTTATCATGAAAACGTGATCCAGCTTTTTAAAAGAAGGAAATCTTGACATTTGTTTCAAGTTGGGTAAACCTACTCTGTAATGCCACTCATAAAATATCTAATTGTGCTGGGTAAATTTATTGAGGTTTTTGTTTGCTTGTTTTTCTATTTAACACAAGCTAGTTATATAAGAAGATGGAAGTGTCTCCATAAGACAGGCCTGTGGGAGAGCTGTGGCCTGAGTGGTTATTGGTGGGTGAGAGCCCAGCTCACTGCGAATGGGGCCATCCCTGGTTTGGTGGTCTTGGATACTAGAAGAAACTAGTCTGGGCAAGTCATGAAAGCAAGCCAGTAAGCAGCACTCCTCCATGGCCCCTGCCTTCTTGTCCTGGCTTTCCTCAGAGACAAAGGGTTTACCTGGAAGAGTAAGGTGGAGTAAGCTCTTTCCTCCCCAAGTTTCTTTTGGTCACAGTGTTTTATTGCAGCAATAGAAGCCCTAACTAAGACATTAAGGTAGTTTAAGTCATAGAATCAGAAAATGGGGACATGGTTACTAAGCACTGGAGGGAAGTGGGAGGGAGAATTAGTGGTTAATGGAAGTCATAGTTTCCTCAGATGAGAGAATTCTAGAGTGTTCTTATACAACAATTTGAATATACTCAAAACTATTGGACTATACACTTTAAAATGGCAACAGCAGCAAATCCAGCAGTGTGCATTCGTAACCACAGTCTTAAAATTACATAAGCAAGCCTAGTAGCTCAGTGTGTCTGCAACAGTGAGGCGCTGAATTTGATCTCCCAACCCATGTAAAAAAGAATGCTAAAAATCCTGACGTGACCCCTTCTTGTCGGGGAGCCCTCCCCCTTGTTGGGCACTGCTGACAAGGTGGATGCAGGAGGATCACTGGGGCTCGATGGCAGTTGTCCTCATCTGATCATCAAGTTCCAGGCCAATGTCCTAAAATACAAGACGGATGACAGCTGAGCAATGACACTCAAGGTTGTCTTCTGATCTCCACATGTACCAGCACACACACATGCATACACACACACACACACACACACACACACACACTATGCATAAATGTGTATACATATATACAAACACATCACACACATATATACATACACATCATATCACACACACACATGTGTACCTATATACATACAAACAGATCACACACATACACACACAAACACACACATATAGAGGGGGGAGGGGGGGGAGAGAGAGAGAGAGAGAGAGAGAGAGAGAGAGAGAGAGAGAGAGATAGGGAGAGAGAGTCTTTGGCAATGGACCTGGCCACTGCTTTTTCTCTGGGTGTATCTTATGCTTTTGTATATTTAAATTTTCTTATACCAATATTTGCTTGTAATTTGGGTATTGGGGACTCAAGTGGCCAGTTTCAGGATCTCTGGATCTTCTGACCTTGGGTCACCATTCTCTCCCTACCCCAAGGGGCAAAATCACACAGAACTAATATACACACGAGAGTTCTTTAATGGCTCTGGAGTTGATGGACTTGACATACCTAAAGATGGAGGGACTGGGCCTTGTAGCCTTAATGCAACTTCTACGTGAGATATAATTGTATAATTGTATCTTTCTACTAGAATAGGGCTTCTAAAAACCCTTCAATTTCCTGACAGGATCTCCTTTGGAGCACATATCAGCTTATGCTACCTAGTGGAATGATGACTCTAGAAGGGTGGTGATTGCCAGAGACGACAATCGGGGGTTAGAAAGTTGGAATTTTCAGATAACTTCTACCTCATAGGAATTAGGAAGGAGTTGGCATTTAAATGATCAAAGGCCAATGATTTCATTAAATTTGCCCACATAATGATATTCCACAAATTCCTGTAAATAACAGGATTCAGACATTGGTGCTGAAGATGCTGGGAGGCCAGAGAAAGCCTGATGCTTACTGCGCTACCCATCCAATCTCATCCTCTGTTGCTACCTAAGGCCCCTATGGAGCTGCTTTCTTCCTGGGAAAGTTGTAATCCTAAGTAAAAGCATTTTTTCTGAGTTCTGAAAGACAGTTACTGAATCTGAGGTGCAGGTCGGGGAGCCCCCGATTCACAGCTGATCTTTACAGGTATAGGTGGCCTTGATCTGAGATTGGCCTCAGGTGAAGATCGTCTTGTAGGACTAAGCCCCTAACCTCTGGTAGCTAGTATCCATGTAGCTAGTATCAGAGTGGAACTGAACTGAAGAGCCCCTCAGTGGAGCCCAAACTTCCCCAGGTCTGAACAGTTACTGGTTCTCCCTTCTCAAGTAGTGAAGCTGAACTAGAGGACACCTCTGGAGGGAGCTGAGGGGGTGGGGGGAGGTTTCAAACCAGCCTGGCTGTGAGGTGTGAGCAGCAGCCAGGGGTGACCAAACAAGTGTGAATGTTGGGGCCATTGTGCATCACACTGACCCTGGCTAGCCACGTGGGCACAGCCAGCAACAACCCTTCCTGCTTACAGAAGCCCACTTCCCATCTGAACTGCTTAGAGAAAACCATGAGCTCTGAAAGACACCATATTGCTCTGTGATGTCACCTCTGGAATGTTCTGAGTGTTTTGGTGACCAGCTTATGCATAGGACCTATACCTGGCACCTCACATTGGTATGGCTACTTTCTTGACATAGAAATAATAGTTTAAAGCAAACCTCTCTGCTTCAGAGACTTTCGACGGGGGTTCTTATGTTAATTCTTGTATTGATTTCTGTTCTGTGATCAGGAAGATTTCTTTCTGGTCAGGTACCATCTACACATACCTTTATATTGAGATCATTAGAAGGTCTATAATTAATTTATAAGAAGGGTGTAAGTATAGTAATGTATTTCAGGTGAGCCACTGAGGCCCGGAGGAGGGGTTGAGAAGGAGAAATCTAATTTTTTCTTTTTCACAGCACTCGAGGCCAAATTTTACAAGAAAGAGAGATACCAGATCTGAGAGCCTAGAAATTCCAATCAATGTGATTCTACCTCAGGTAGGGACAGTCACAGAAGGATGCAACTTACTGGTTCTAGCTACAATAACCCTGTCTCCAGACCTTACAGAATGAACAAGGAAGTCAGCTGCTCCAATTCTTGTCATGTTGGGTTTTCCCTGGTTGTGTGTCTGGAGGGAGGACACATGGTCTCTGGACTTTGGGATCATCTAGCTTTGAATGAGGAAGCTGGGTTGGATGGTCAAGTTCTCCCACCCCCCTCAGTGCAAGTCTTTCAAGGTTTGATGATATTGTAAGAAAAAAAAATCTATCAAAGGAGACCCTTCATTACGCAGTGATGTATAACTCTTCTGGATATCTGCGGAGATCTAGTATTGAGCTTAAACTAGAACTGAAGTCTTACGCATGAGGATAAACCCAGGCGCTGACACCCCAGCATGTGGCCCATTTGTAGCTGCCAAAAGAATTAAGCCCTGCTGTGGGCCAAACATGGGTACTAAGGGATGGGCATTCAGTTGTTTCTTTTGAGGTCAGTGAATGATTAAACCCCTTGCAGCTTGTGGTTCTTAGGTCTCCTGCATGCAACAGCTTCCTTGGTGGGTTGCCTTTGACTTGACTGTTTCTTCTGCTGCTATGTCACAAAGGGGTGGCCTTGCTTTCTCCAGAGTCCCCCCAAGAGCTCATTGGAAGACCAGGGTCATGCAACCAGAGGGGGTGAAATGTAGGATGGAGGGACCCAAGGCACAGGTAACTTATTTAAAATTTGGTCCAGGGAGGTATGTACAAAAGAGGATGGTTCTCTAATTGGTGTTCTGTATGCCTGTAACTGTAGCAAGCTCAGGAAACACAGTCAGGCAAGGAAACAGCCTGGATACTTGTTTTCCTTACAGGATTGTAGTGAACAGCCATTTTTATATCTCCTTCAGCTCATGGAAGCTGAGCCAGAATATTAGGGAACTTGTTCTGATCATCCTCTAGAAGGACAAAGAACCTTACTAGGTCTTGTTCTTAATATATAAAACACGCATTTGTCTACTTCTATGTATGAGGATGGGTATGGTTCCTTTGGTTCCTTACCAGCCCAAATATTAGGGGCAGACTGGAGATGCCAGCCTAGATGTGGGAGTGGAAAAGGGGTTGGGAACAGGATTTGAAAGTAGTTGTGTTTTCACTGTTGTGACCCAGCAAGAAGCAAGTTAAGAGAGGGAATGTTTATTTTGGCTCTTGATTCAGGGGATGAGTCCATGGTGAAGGGGAAGCTATGGTGGTGGGGCCAGTGCCTCAAATCATGGCAGATCAACTTGCTTTATTCAGTCCAAGGTCTGCCCCACACCCACCCCCTTTCTGATAAAGTCCGAACAAGGGTATGTGGCTTATTAATGTCCTAGGTGTTTCTTCATCCAATGAAGATGACACAAAGCCCTCATTATGGTCATGTTGTACAAAGATTAGAAAGCTCCATCCATCAACCCCTGGCACCGCTTTCCATCCCTAGCTCCCAGAATCAGCTTAGCAGTTGAGGAGAAAGGTGATTTGAGAAGTCTTAGGTTGGTTCTGGTCCCCTGAAACCTCCTCCTCCACCCCACTTCCTGGGCTGTAGGATGTGGTGCAGCTGCTTGGATTTTGGAGGGCAAAGAGATATGGAATGACGGGATCACTGCTGACTGAAGATTTGTTTCTCATGGCCTGATGTGGCCTTGAGTATGCCAGCCAGGCTAGGCCAACCGTCTTCAATAAGTCAACTAAGCAATCAACTGATGTTGAAAAGCAGGATGAGGAGGTTTATTCAATGCTGCAACACTTGAAGGAGGAACAAGGAGTCTAGTGATTCCTCAGGTCCATCTTGGACATGAAGTTTGGGTTTCAAAAGAAGGCCAGAGGTACCCATCACTAAGCAGCCCTGGTTGAGGTGTGGTCCAGCCCAGCATCATTGTCTCAGCCTCAGGCTCTCCTGAAGGGTAGTCTGACAAGTTATAAAGGCTGTGTGAAATCCCTTTCTGAGGGACAATCTTTCCCTTTCTTGATGGCACCAGCCTTCAGCCTTTACCTTTTCCAAACATAAAGTTACTGGAGAAATTCCTTGAGGTCTATTGTTTCAATAATCTGGTAGCTAGAAGGAAGGACATAAGTATCATTTTTGGAATATATTCATGACCACCAGGATGGTTATAGGCCCACCAAGGGTCCCAAGCCAGGCAACCTGCCAGGATACTCTCGACTGGGTGGAAAGTAGCCATGGATAACTAGATGATGTAAACTGACCTGCCTCCCAGGCCTGTGAGGAAGATTTATATGCTCACTGTACCTCCCCAAACAAGATAGTCAGGGGAAGGATTCCTATGAGCAACAACGTGAGGAAGGATACTGACGGATGCTGCTGGCGTCATGTGTTGGCCATGGGGCCACACAAGTGCATGGCAGAGATTTCACAGCCATGCGAACTGGGAGGTTTGATAGCAAGGACAGAACTTTGATTTAACCCAGGTCAGTGCCCAGGCTGTCACCCTGTTTACTGGGGCCAGGTGATGTTGTAGCTCTAATTATTCTCTTGCTTCTAGAAGATAGTGCCTCCCCTGCCCTCCCTTAGATTACTAACCCCCAAGCTTCCTGTATCTTTGTGCCCCATTGGCTTCATTCTGAGTTGAGCTTGTTCTATTTGGAAGGGAATTGTAACAGTACCTCTGGCTCCCTGCTCCCAGCCCTGGTGGGTGGCTGGAGTTCTCAATTACACTGTAAATGCTATGATTCACTAGTTGTCACCCTTGGGTTTTCTTGGGTCTTATTGATTTCCCATTTTTTTCCTCCTCACACTGAACATGAGTGTTTTCACATCTATTTTCCTCTAGCACATTGACTTGCAAACCGTAGTGTTACTTCCTGTCTGAGCAACTGATCTCCCGACTCCTTCTATACAGAGACTTGCTTTCCCAGGTGTTCATCTCCAGTGAGCACTCTGAGTTTCATTAAGACATTGTTATTGCTAGATCATCAATGAAAGATCTACATCTTGATCAGGGTGACCTCTGATAGCACTTCCCAGTGTCCACTCTATTTTCCCTTGCCTTTTTCTCCTTCTCTTTTGGCAACGCCAACTGGAATAGTGTAAGAGCAAGATTTTAGGAGGTTAGTTGACTTCATCTGCCATTCTTATTCTCTTTGTTACTAGCATTAAAATTCTCTCAAAACCAATCACATTTACCTTGTGAATTATCTTTTTATCTGTTAGCATTTCCTAAAACAAACATTATATTTAAGCATACCACTAGATATCTATTGATTGATTGATTGACAGTGGAACTCAGCTGTGAAGTTAGCACCTTGGTTTCTCCTTCTAGGATCCCGGTGCCCTTCAGTTTCATGTGCATTAAAAGTATTTCAGCTGATTGAGAATTCCCTACCAGTTAGCCCCTAATAGTGTTGGCAAAGCAGGTGCTTTAAAAGTTGGTCAACCAGTTTGGACTTTCTGGGAGCATGGGCACGTCCTTTCTGGGTGGTAGTAGCTACGACTTACAAGTAGGGGAGAGAAGTGCTGTTTCCTCAGTTTTCTGTTACTATAACAAAATGCCCAAGACCAGGCAGTTTACAAAGCATAGAGGCTGGGCATTTCAAGAGCATCTGGTCATCTTCTGGCAGGAACATCCTTGTGTCAGAATACGGTGGAGGGCATCTCTGGTGAGATATTGCAAGCAAAGCACAAGAGGCACTTTATAACATGCTCCTGCAACAGCCCCTTGACCCATGAATGTATTGACTGATCATGATTCCCTCATGATCCAATCCGCCTCAGAAAGGTCTCACTTCTCAAACACCATTACCATGTAACTTTGGGGATTAAGTTCCTAGCATATGAAATGTAGAGGACAAATTCAAACCACAGCAGTGTCAGCTGAGTGTCGGCTTCTCATTGCCCAGGCCCATTTCCAAACTCTTTAGGTAGAAGACTACCCTACCCCCAATAACACCATCTGGGCAGGTTTCACCCCAAGAGTTCCAGTCTTTAGAAACCATATAGCAGCAGTAAGAGTCTGGTGGTGTCTTTTCCCATTGCCTTCCGTTTCATTTCTTTTTTCAGTTGTCTGCTCTGCTGTTTCTCAGGATCCCTGGGAGCAGTATGCCACATACTTATTGGTGATTTAAAGCATCTTCATTAGAAGAGAAATACCAGGAGGGGCTCAGGAAAGACTCCAATCCATAGGCAGGCTTTCAGGCATCTTCAAGGGCCCCTTGTTTGTACCCAGGGCTCTTCCTGGATCCCCAGCACCAACACATTGTTAGGTCAAAGCTACGAGCACATTACTTGTTCTTGCTCCTGAAGACAGTTGCTCAGTCACCTCTCAAACACTTAATGGAGATGTGTCGCACCTCAGAGCCGCACGCTCCTCCCCTCCTACAACTTGGCTCTCCACTCTGCCATGACGGAGCCAACTTCCTTCTTTTTCACCCGTTGGTCTCTATCACTATGTGAGAACATGTCCCAAAGAGCAAGAAGAGACTTCCCTTCCTCTATCACTGTGTGAGAACATGTCCCAAAGAGCAAGAAGAGACTTCCCTTCATTGCTTGAAACTCCTAGACTCAGTAGACCCCCTCCACAATGTGCCAAGCTTGTCAGGACCCAGGTCATCAGATTAGTTCAGCCAATGGAAGAAATCTGAGAATATCACTCACCAGACTTAACTCCCCCTACTGTGAAAGACAGGAGTCTGTGGACACTGGGTATGGGAGCCTGGGGTCTTGAATCTATGTGTACTTGCTCAGCTTAGCTGTTCACATTCTGCCAGAGCTTTTGGTAAAGCAATATATTCAGTATTTCATGGTGGTTTAGAACAGGAATTGTTAAATAACACCAGCAGGACTCTGGTCTTTGTGATGGCTTGTCTACTGCTTGTCCTCTTATGAACCCAGGAATCAAGCACAGCAGCCATGTTTAGGCTCCATTTAGAGGTGATGGAGAAACAAGAACTTGTCTGCAGGACTCAAATCATGGGAGTTTTGAGATCAAAGCTCTTGGGGCTTGGGACCTCTGCTTTGGGTTCTAGGTTCAAGATGATGACATGGCTGCTGTCCTGTTTTTATTTCTGTTGCTGTGATAAAATGCCCCGATTCGAACAGCTTAGGGGAAAAAGGGTTTATCTGATTTACAATTACAGGTCACAGCTTGTCACTGTAAGGACATCAAGGCATGAATGCGAGACACCTAGTCACATCCAGAATCAAGGGCAAAGGGAGACTAATTGCATACATACTTCTAATATTTAGCTTGCCTTCTCACTCTTACACAGTACAGGACCCAAACCTAGGGTCTAGAACTACCTACGGTGGACTGGGTCTTTCTACATCAATAAATCGAATTAAGAAAATCCCTCGAAGGTGTACCATAGGTCAACTCAATCCAGATAATTCTTCATTGAGATCCCCAGGTGATTCTAGGTTGTGCCAAGTTGATGATTAAATTTGCCCATTGTGGATCTTAGAACGCTGTATGCTGGAGGCACCCTTTAAAGGGGTAGGTTTGTTTCTTTTTGATTTTAGAGAGAGGAAAGGAGGCTTCTTGGGGAATAGAACCCATGTACAAACATTAACTTCATATCTATCTATCTATCTATCTATCTATCTATCTATAACCTATACATCTATATAATCTATCTATCTATCTATCTATCTATCTATCTATCTATCTATCTATATCATATACAGCTCATAATAATTTTATATACTACTTTATGTACCTGAGTCATTGCATGAAGACAAGTATAGGATTTCTCACTTTTGGCACTATGTGGATGCTTAGAAAACTTCAGATTTTGGAGCACTTTGGAACTGAAAATTTTCCGATTAGAGATATCCAAACTGAAATAGTATTTCACTTGCCAGCTTTGTGGGTATTAGGTGAATTATACAGGTAAAATGCAGCCACATGACCAGCTGGACATCCTGCAAATGCCTGTAACGTCAGCTCTGAGGAATCTGACACTCTCGTCAAGGTGGTGCAGCCATCCCAAGTTAAAATTGTAGAAACTGGAATTCACACAACTTGCCCAGATTCATATAACTGATAAGTAGCAGGGTCAGAGGTTAAGATAAGAAAAAAAGAAGGTTGATTCTAAAATAAGTACTTTTCGTTTCTACCATATGATTGGATCTTATCTGTGTTTGTTGTTGTTGTTGTTCTGAGTCAGGGTCTTGTTTTATGTAGTCCTGGTTGGAATTTGCTATGTAGAGCATCCAGCTTTGAAGTTCTGGTTATGTTCCTACCTGCACTGCCTCTGAATAGCTGGGGTTACAGCCTGCACAGTGCATAGTCAATTATTTATAGATTTTTATAGTTATGAATGTATAGACCTTTGACTATACCAGCGTTTTAGTGCTCATAGAATATTTGTGGTCTTTCTTGGATCTACAGAGAAGTTCGTATGTGGGTGTGTGACCAAGAACCGGGGGTCGGGTGACCCTTATTTGAACGCTCATCCTGGAACAGTGTCTTGTTTTCAGTTTATATACCAGCATGGTTTTGAAACTTTCGTACTTCTTGTTGGTTTCACTGATTAAAGTGACATCTACCCACATGGCTAAAGACCCTGCCTAATTACCATGGGTCGGTGCTGTGCCCCCACGGAGCAAGCTTGTTAGACAAGCTCTGCTCATGGGATAGGATGCACCCACTGTCAATCTGCATATCCGTGAGGGTGTCTATATAAACAGAAGCAGAGTGTTCTATTTGATCAGTCGACAGAAAGTTTATGAGCAGAGCCTTATAGGAACCTGGCCCAGTTTTCCATCTGCGAACCATGAGTTCAGTATTCATTAATTCAGACGAATGCTCCCAGAATTACAAAGGCTTGTTATATTTCCTTGTTAACATCTCCGGAGGTCACGTGAGGGGTCTCCGGGCCTCCTAGTCCCCCAGCAGTCCTTCAAACAGTTCCTCCATTAACAGCTTCCCTGCTTTTCTTCCACAGAGGGGCACTGAGCCCTTCCTGAGGCTCCACAACCTGTACAGCACTCCTCGCTGCTCCAGGCAGGCTACCTTGCCTCGGATGAGCCGCAGGGTAGCCAGCCAGCACTCCTACCCACTCAATCGCTTCTCTTCTATGCCCTTTGACCCCATGGAGCGCCCCACCTCTCAGGCCGACCTGGAACTAGACTACAACCCTCCCCGCGTGCAGCTCAGCGACGAGATGTTTGTCTTCCAGGATGGGCGCTGGGTGAACGAGAACTGCCGCATGCAGTCACCTTATTTCTCTCCCTCCACCTCCTTCCACCATAAACTGCACCACAAGAGGCTGGCCAAGGAATACCTGCTGCAGGAAGAGAACAAGTCTCTTCGGGATGAGAACAGGGCCCTAAGGGATGAGAACAAGGCCCTCCGCAAGGAGAACAAGATCCTACAGGTCTTTTGGGAAGAGCACAAGGTTACTTTGGGCCACGAGGAGAGTCAGACCTCCTCGCCATTGCTGCACAAGGACACAACCTCCCAGGAAGTGGTGAAGAAAGACAACACCACTTTGCCTGCCCAGCGTAGCAAAGAGAATACCCTACAGCTCATTCGAGAGGAAAACCGGGCCCTCCAGCAGTTGCTGGAGCAGAGGCAAGCCTACTGGGCCCAGGCAGAAGAGAGTGCAACTTCCACTGAGGAGGGGAAGTCTACCTCTGTACCCAAGGAGGAGTCCCATAACTCAGGGCTTCTGCCAGATCAGAGCCCAAACCACTCCTCCCACTTTGAGGAGCCCAAAGGCCCCCCCACAACACAGGAGGCCTCGAAGACACTGCGCGCCCTGAGGGAGATGGTTAATAACTTGTCTGGGCCATCTGGAGAAGAGGATGGCAAAGTAGGCCCTAACCTAACTGACAGCGCTCAACCCCTGCAGCTGCTGAGAGAGATGAACCAGGCGCTCCAGGCCCTGCGGGAGGAGAACCGGCTGCTGCAGGAGGAGAACAGGGCTCTGCACGTCCTGCGTGAGGAGCATCGCGTCTTCCAGGAGGAGAACAAGGCCCTGTGGGAGAACAACAAGTTGAAGCTGCAGCAGCGACTGGTCATCGACACGGTGACTGAGGTCACAGCCCGTATGGAGATGCTTATTGAGGAGCTGTATGCCTTCATGCCAGCCAAGAACAGCAAAGATCCCAAAAAGCCCAGCAGGATCTGAGGCCTTGGCAGCAGACACAGACACCAAGACCAGGCCAGAGAGAATCCTCAACCTTCCTTTGTCTTCCTTAAGTTGGCCCATCAGTATGTGCCTGTGGAACAGCGGAGAAAGGGCCATCCTACACCCTAGACACAATAAAGGCAGAGGAAGCTGGGGCCAGCCAACACCAGTGTGGAGTTATGGCTTCTTCTCCTCCTTCCTTCTTACTCTTTTAACTTCTTACCACTTTGCCTTCTGTCCCTCAGCCTCTCCTCTCTCGTCTTTATCAATCATCTCATCCTGTCCGGCTCCCTCACTTTCAATCCCTGTATAGCCTTCTATAGCCTTAGCTGGGTATAATGGTGCATTTCTGTGCTTTTTTAGGACTCAGGAGGCAGAGGCAGGAAGATTGTGAACTTAAGGCTTACCTAGGCTACATAGTAAAAAAAAAAAAAAAAAGGTGGGGGGTGCTTTATAAAAGCAAGAAGTTGGGAGATGGGGCACAGGACAAAGCATGTCAGATGGACTTTTTAGAGTAAAATTGAGCTGAAAGTCAGAGTTCCCATAGAGCTCTGCCATACTCATCAATATCCCCTATCAAAGTCTATGAAAACTGATGAATCCATGTGGACTCATCAAAGCACACGAAATCCCTAGTTAGGATCTTCTGGCTACATTCCTTAGACACTGAGCCAAGAACCATAATCCACTCCTCTACTGGCGGTCTTTGTATGATGATTGTGACACTCAGGATCCTTAGAACCCTGTGTGAAGGGCACTACCATTTCTAACAGACGTGGGAACAGGAATGCCAAGCCATTTACTGATTGACAGAAAAAGCCAGACGGGGACTTCAAGGACAGTTCAATGAGGTCAGGCTCTTTCCATGAGACTCACTGCCAGTTTCCTAGTCTCTAAAAAATAAGTTGTTTTGGTGTCTGTTTTCCAGATTTAAGAACTTAGCAAGGCTTACCCCAAAAGCAGCATCAGAAATCCCAGAGGAGGGGGTTAGTCTCACATGTTAGCGACACGTCTACCCTGCACACAGGGTAGACAGTGACAGATGTACAGGAGAAGGCTGGTAATTTATTTTACTTATGTCACCAGAATCTGAAAAATGGGAACTAGTTGCTGATGGGCCTCTGGGCCTTAGTAGTTTTTCCTCCTCTATTTGTTAAATTAATTTATCATTTGGGGTATCATAAAACATCACACCTGTTTAAGTCAGTGTAATAACCCCAGGGTGTAGGGGGTTTATTTTTGTCTTTTGATAAAACCAAATTGATTCTGTTATTCTAGACAATAGGAAGACAAAAGACACACTCTCTTAAGGTTTGTGTTTCCAGGATTTGGCTTGGATGAATCTATACAACAGCAGTTGGTTGTTGTCTCACGAGCTGAGAGTGCTCAGAGAACTTAATACTATTTAGCCATGTCAACTCTCTGTGGGTCAGAATCTAAATGGATGATGAGTCAGAGAAGCCGTGAGATGCCATTTTTATGGAGTGGGGGAGATTTATTTTAGAACACTGCTTTATTGTACAGTACAGTGCAATCTGTCAGCGATTGCCAGCACTCTAGTGGAATCTAAATTCTGGTGGAACAGCGTGAGTGCTCGCTCTTATAGGAAGCTTTCCCCTAGACATCTCAGTTCTAGATCTGCCTTTAGTCCAATGTTAGGCCCTTACCAAATAGCAGAAGCTTTCTCTTTGCAAGGTAGATCTTAGAGCTGAGTCCTAAAGGTTTACATTTAGAGAGCTAAACATTCCACCTTTCCTGTTGTCCCCTCCTAATTGGGGTCAGAGTCTACCATTGTCCAGATAGCCAGTGTAATATGGTAGGCTCCCTTCATTAGCAGGACTTCCCCTTCTCTGACCCTGTCTAGGGAGTTTAAAACCCTCCAGACATCTCTACCTGGAGAATGTCACATAGCCTTAGTTAGATTGCAGGTTCAACTTCCTTTCTCCTGATAAGAACCAGTTCAGCTAGCACCTAAGATTCCTGAAATGCTTCTTCATGCTAATGAGGCATCTTAGTACTGTAAGCTTTCAGCCAATGACCGTTGCCCATATTGAATATTTTGACCCCACCCCCAAATTATACAAGCCTTGAATCACCCCATGTAAAGTTGATCTGCCTTCCTGAAGCTGGCCCCAGTTTCGTCATTTACCGTATCTACTCATAGAGCTTCCTCCCCCATCCTACCCCCCATCCATCATCTCTGTTCTCTTTTCCCTCATGGACTGATGTTGGCTGACGATCCCCGGGGGCAGAGAGTGTCACATCTGTCTTCTATCACTTGGCCATTGGCTTCTCTGGCTTTCTTGGTTGCTACAGTTAACTGCTATTCTTTGCCTTGGCTGGATCCTGTCCATAAGATTAGCTAGCTAAAAGTTGAAGGTCAGGGACAATAGAGAACACCATTTGAAATAGCTAGCTGAGTAACAGAAACTACAGCCCCAGACTTCTTGGGGGAGAGGGGAAGGATATATTTCTGGGCATACAATTTAAGGACATAGTTCAAGCAGGAAATACGGAAGTTATATCTGTACATTCTCAGCTCCAGGTTATAGAGGACATACATGTACACAAGTTAAAATGATGGACACACGCTGAGTTTGTGACATAAAAAATGACAGATAGGAATGCTTTTGTGTGTGTTGTTTTCTCCAAAACATTTTTTTTAAAGATTTATTTTATGTATGTGAGTACACTGTAGCTGTCTTCAGACATACCAGAAGAGGGCATCTGATCTCATTACAGATGGTTGTGAGCCACCATGTGGTTGCTGGGTATTGAACTCAGGACTTCTAGAAGAGCAGGCGGTGCTCCTAACTACTGAGCCATCTCTCCAGTCCCCAAAATGATTTTTTAACCTAAAACAAAAGGAAATGATCCTTTGAAAATGCTTTAACACAGGAATTTGCCCTTATATGTTCTTGCCAAGCTTAGTGCTTAACATTCCTGCTTCTTAAAGGTTCCACAACCCCTTAATGTTCCACTCTGGACATCAAAGTGCCCCTTGGATAAAACACTCAAGTTACAACTAAACCATAATAGTCAGCCTGAACTTTGCAGAGTCCACCAGAGAATTGGCATCAATAAATTCTGTTCTTGAACTCTCCTCTTTGCTCTGGAATTCCCATAAAATGGTTTTGATCTTCACAGAGTCAATGCTTGGCCAGTGTTACAAAGGGAAGTATGGGAATCAGTGGAGAGGAGAGACCGAGGGGGTAAATGTCTGATGGAGGAAGTTGGGTGATGTCTTCAGGGTTGACTACCTGACTTGTAAGTTGGGAAAGGACTTATTATGAAGCAAGGTCATTTCCTGCAGTGTTGGGAGTTGCTGCTGGACATAAACTTTTTACCCATTCAAAATTTGGAGCCTCTCAATCTGATGCTGTGTTTTATGGAGAACTGGAAGTTTGTACTTGTATCTTACTGACTCTTCATTCACATGCAGGTCTTCTCCAGCCTGGACTCTTATCACTTCCTTTCACATTTGTTCACTCACACGGAGTCCTTTGCAACCAGGAACCAAGTTAGGGGCAGGTAACATTCTTTGTGCCGTCAAGACAAGTGGTGGTTTAATTTATGCTGCTTCCCCTGTAAACCTGTCTTTATTTGCAGACAGCTCGGTCCATTTGGAAATTTTTCCCTTAGAGACATGCTGTTCAAATCATTTGTTAAGAAATGGGTCCTTTGCTACTCAGGGAACATCTCCTGAGCTACAAGAGAGCTTCTTGGTGGTCAGTTACTTTCTGTGGGTTTGTTTGGATGGTTCTCATCTCCTCTCCTCATCCATACAGTTACCTGATAACCATGTCCTAAGTATTTCTAGAAAGCCTTAGAATCCATCCACTTACCTATTTACACCGGTCAAATCTAGTTCTGGCCAACGAAGTATGCTGGGTAACAGCTGTTGTTGAACCCAAATAACTCTACTTAAATCACCCTGGTGGAGGCGCTGTCACTCCTTACTACCTGCCCCAGTGTTCTGGGTTCCCGAATGAAGGACGCACACACACACACACACACACACACACACACACACACACACACACAATCATAATTTTTTTAATTTATTTTTTATTTTTTATTGAATATTTTATTTACATCTCAGATGTCATCCCCTTTCCTCATTTCCCCCTCACCCAGGAATCCCCTATCCCATCCCCCCTCCTCCTGTTTCTATGAGGATATTCCCCCACCCACCCTCCCACTCCCACCTCCCCACCCATGATTTCCCCCACACTGGGGCATCTAGCCGTCACTGGACCAAGGACTTCATCACCCACCTATGCCTGACAATGTTATCCTCCCCTGTGTATACAGCTGGGGCCATGGGTCCCTCCCTATGTGCTCCCAGGTTGCTAAAACCTTATATTTTAATATGCCTTAAATAGCTCAGTGGCTGGGCTACTTCCAAACCTCCACATGGCTTAACACATTCCCCTCTGATATTCCTGAGTTATTACTTACTAAAACCTATATTCCATCTTGGCTTCCAGGGACCCAGACCTATAGGCCTCTTGAGTTGAGTTCCCTAGCACTTACATGACGGCTGTTTGCTGTCTCTGGCACATTGCAAGTGTGGCTTCTACTCCTTTCCTACTTACTTCCAAGTAAGGATTGGGCCAGAGCTAGAGGAAAGGTTGGAATCCTGTGTCCCATGGATTGGGACCTTTTAGGTTATTAGTATCGTGAGAACCTTGTTTTGTGCATGCTCTATCTCAGCTTGGCTTCAGTGGCAGTAGTGTTTTCTATTTTCTTCTCTGACAACTGGCTTCTCTCCTAATCTCCATAACTACTTCCTCATCTGCAAAGTGAAGTTAATGGTAGTGCCCTCCCATACAGGTTACTCATTATACCATAACCCATTCTGACCTGGGCATCCTGCATTACCCATCCACTTAGCTCTTAGGTCTGTAGTTTGGCAAGTCTGACTGAGTTTATCCTGGAAGCTGTAGTCTTAGCTGGGCTCCCTAATGTCCTAAATCAGCAGGCAGGCCACTAACTGGCTCATTCTAGAAACTGGCTGACTGTTGAGGATGCCTGGTTGTTTCTCCTATGTTCTCTCTCTCCCTTTAGCAACTTACCCCAGACATAGGCAAAGGTCCAGAAGAGACAAGGGAACGGCTTGTAAGTACCCCCAAAACCTAGGCTTAAAATAGGTCACTTCCAATGACC